TTTTTTTTTTTTTTTCGAAAGAAAGAGTTCAAGCTCACACTGCAACAACATAACTAGTCCTCTTTTTGCAACATCTTTTCCTTTCCTTATGACTGTTAATCTACAACTTACAGCAACAAATCCATGTCGCGATATAAGTGACAGCCTTTTTAACCAAATTTACTTTGCACCTACAAACTAGTTGTTAGAGGACGTGATATAGTATACGAGACATTTTTTTATACACGCAAAGTGTTAATGCTTCTAAATCTTGTATGCATTGCTCAAATTGTCCAATCATAAATATGTTTAATTGTAACAGAAAAATGGACAAGAAATTAGGAAACAAAAGAGTTCATCTAAACCTAACATTAATCTACTTAAATTTCTGGCATATCTCACTGCACGGTATTTGTTGTTTGACAGGTAACAATCGTCACTGAATCAAGCGGATCTATTCAAAAAACAAATTTTTAAAAACAGTTCGCAGTAATGTTTAGTGGTTTTGAAGTAGGTTGAACTATTATTTTTTGTACTGCAGGTCTGCTGTCCGGTAATATCTGCAATGTGATGGAAATCACAACTTGAACAAAGAATTATTTAATTACAACACAAAGAGGACATTAATTCTTGCAGCGTGAGCTGACATGTAAATTTGCAAATAAAATTGAGTTAAAAAAAACAGTAAGGTTTTTCAAAAAGTTGTCAATGACGGTAGCACACTTTAAAGAATGACAAAACTTAACCACTTGAGAACTGAAAGTCTTCTAAACGGTACACAGAAATGGAATTTACCAATTACGCTATGCTGAGAAATCCGGATTTATCTAGTAGCGAGACTACAAAGTTTGACAAATAACGACCTTCGCACTGACTGCCGCTTAAAAACAATTACCCACTAAACGCGACAGTCAAATATTCAGTAGTTCCTAATTTTTATATCCAAAAAATATCACACTTTCAATGATCCATCCTGTCAAATACTCCAGCCGCAGCAGTTAATTTCGCAAATGCTAGACGAAAAGACAACGGTCATTCCAAAAATCTGTCAATTAAGTTAGTTTCAACTCTGGGGAAAGGGTTTTATTGAGGAAGATATCTTTTTATCGCATTACAGATAAGCTATATGTTAATTCTGCAAATGTTCATTAAAAACTGGTTGATGACTATTGAAAGAACTAATAAAGTTAGCCTTTAACTAAGTCACAAAATTTACAACTGTTTTCTCAAATGAATTAAAAAGTGATTTTTTCAGTGATTTTCTTAGACCTCCAAATTTCACTTACTTGATGATATGCTATTACGGCAGGTGCTTAGCAAACCTCAAATTCTACTATAATACCAAAAAAATGAAATACATTTTCTCCAACTCTATGGCAAACCTTAAACGTGACTGGAATGGAAACCCGTAATGAGCTGGTCCGAAGCTAGCACTTTGCTATTCTGATTCTTATGACTTTCTACAGGATATCACGGTTGTTACTTTAAGGGTCATTCCAGCGCAAATCTCTTCCTTTACAGGAATTGTCATAATTCGAATGAAATGAAGGAGAAAATTAGAAAAAGAATGCAATATTAAGTGCAGTAATTCTTGACACGTGTTTTTTACGCTTTAAGCTTGGTAATTAACTACTTACTGTACTACTAGCTATTACCAGAGCTTTTACTGCGAAAGCCATTGACATTTGCGAGATTCCTCACAATTTCAGTGACGAATATAATAAGCATTAAAATCCACTTAAGGTTTTAAAACTGCTTTTGTAATGAATTAAGTCAAAATGTGAAAATCTTTGTCAGTTAACGTTTAAAAAAAAAAACAAAAAACAAGAAAAATAAAGTTTTTTCAAATGAGAAATTCAAGTGTGTTTGCTCTATCAACCCTTAGCAAGAAATGGTAAGTTACAACACCGCTAATTATGTCCACTGCAATGCCCATCAGTACCCTTATCACCGACATTGGGTTAAACGAATACGAGACGGTTGGTCCAGCTGCTACTACCAAAATACTTGCCAGCAGCGTTTCCAATGCTAAGTACTTGACACCTAACTCAGAAAATTTTAAAATGCACTAAGAATATTGCTTGCAAGTGAAGAGTCATGTGTACTTCCCGACTCCATTTGAAACACAGTTCTGAAAGTTTTGTAGATTAGAGACCCGCACAGATGATGATTACAATAATTGGACAACATTTCCTACCCCCGTCCAGAAGTAACGTCCAGCAACTCGTAATCGAAGCAAAATAAAATAACTGTGGAAATTTTGGTTGAATTAACGAAACCAGGTAACTAACCGATGTGAAATCTAATAAACATTATCGAAAGAAAAACTTTTACTGCACAGCAAAGTCCCTAAAGCGACCTTATTCAGGGTAGTAATAAAAATTTTTTTTCCTGAATAGTAAAGTTAATTTAGTCTGGGCAGACATCAAATGTCTTCGTCAATTTTCAAATTGAGAAGATATTTTTGACCAAAACCATTTTTACATAATAATGATGAAGTACTGGCGCAAAAAGCATTGTTTATTTTTCCCTTTAGCCAATGAATGCCAGCATGGTTGGCGCTCCCCGCCTTCAACATAAAAATCTGGTCTTTCAACGGTCATCTGATACAATCTACATCAAAATTTGAAAACATCCAAATCGGAATTGCAGTAGAGTTGGAGAGCCATAGTTCATCTTCTTCGCCTTCTACATCCATTTTTGACTTAACATTTAAAAAATTTTTATTTATCAAACTTAATCTTATAGATTTTCCAGCGGAGAACACTTCGCAGTGTGCGACCATACTGTGCTCGTCCTCCAAAGCAGTACACCTGCCAATCAGAGACCCCACATTTTTCCGATCAGAGAGCAAAAAACAAAGACCAAATAACGGCTGTCCTCTAGGCTCTGTGCCAGAAAGTTTCTGAAAATAAAAGTTATTTAGCAACCTCGGCTCATAAAACTTACTCGAATAGCTTGCCAGTTGCAAACTAGATTTTGTCTTTCACAACTACCGCACTTCCTTTCTCCTACAAATAAAAAAAAGTTTGGTCAACAGCTAAAAAACACCTACGTCAATAAGGTACAGAACCATTCGGAAGATATTCTCAGTGGTGTTGTTTAGTTTCTTGAAATAGCCATTAACTCGACTCTTTGCCAAACAATCATATAACTGGCATTGCGTTTGGAAAAGAACTCTAGCATCTTCCAAGTCTTGAATGGCAAAACCGTATAAGCTTAAAATATTGACACAATCAAGCGGTCTACGCGAGGGCCACAGCTCCTGAAATTAACTTCCACTTACCTCGCAGTTTAAAAAATTTTAATTCCTAATATTAGTTGCGAATCTGAAGCGCATTTTCAAACAGTCGTTTACTAACAGCTATCGTACCATCAAAGGAGCACCAAGCGTTTGTGGACACCAAATAACGTTACTGATATTTCTCGATGCTTTTAAATTTTCTTGAGTAAAGCCAGTAACAAATTTAGGCTCATAATCATACCCTGTAAACGCAACTTGAGTTTCCTCAATAACTGCATAACGCAATTTCGCCAACATTTTTTTCATAGAAAGATCCCTAAATTAATGAAAACAATTATGCTTCCCATCGCCGTGGATTAGATAAATATATAGGTAGATCACTAATTAATAAAAACCATAAAAGCTTGGCACTATTGCAGTAGAGGCTGCGCATCTCCACATGTTTTCTTTGATTGCCAACCTTCATTTTTTGCGTACCAAGTTCTCAATTTTGGCTAATCTCATGAAAGCATGAAAGCCCCGATTCAAAAAATTAGTCCTTGCTTGCTTTCTAACGGCGTAATACTAAAATGTTGCCTAAGTTTATTTCCAGAGTTGTCTAAAATTACTTTTAGCATTTCATAAACTTCTCCAGTTGCTTCTCAGTGTGACAGACATAAAACAAAAACCTGACCCGTAGAATCCTAAAAACTTATTTTGGCCTATTTCTTTGTTCTACACTTCCCACTGTTTTCTGTTTTCTATTACTTCGTTTCAACTATATGTTACATTTCATAACCTGTTATCACCTCTCCTCACTTTTGTTAAAAGTTTTACCTCAAGATTATTTCTCTCCGTCTTGAACTGTCTAAATTAGGAAGCAGTTAGAGAGGTTTATGCAACAATAAAAGCAGATTTACACATATTCTGAACCTAAACTCACTCAATCCTATCTGTAAAATACTATGTACACAACTAAAACAGCGAAATTAAGTCAGTGTTTTTGAGCAGACGTGAAAATGGTTAAGATATTTGAGACTTACGAGTAGAAGAACTACATGGATATGAATTTAAACTATTTCCAAATTCCTATAGTCAAAGTTGCAAGATGTACATGCCAACAGTAGCACTACCTAATGGCAAATAACGCGCGTTACGAAGTCGCAAAAGAATTATAGCGAGATTTTAGCATTAGACTGCTAAAAAGCTAGCAAGAACTAAATGAATAAATCAAAAACTCTCTCGAATGATTCAGGTGGGATTGGAAACCTTGCAGAGGAAAGACGATGTAGCAATGGAGATCAAAAAAGTTCTATTTGAGGATGAGTACTGTTAACTGCAACAGCCCCCAAAAATTTCTTTCCAAGAAAACTTTAAAAACACCTTAAATCGGTTTCAATATCTTTCAATAAAAATGACAAGTTTGAAAACGACAATGATTATACCAGTGGCAAAACTTTTCCGCCATTTCATTCCAAATGCAGATCTGGCATTTATAAGCGCCTTATACATGAAAATGAAAAAAGGGGAAAAAAAACTGCGTTTACGTCGAGACAACAGTTCTGGTCTTCGCCTCAAAGCACTCTTTCCTCTCCTCACCGCCGTAATATTGGGACATCTTGCACCAGTCTGGTACGGCGGTATACATAGCGGCTTTCCTATCCAAATCTATCTCCACCCTGAAAATTAGATGCTTGAATACAAAATACTTAAACGAATAAATTACGAACTCTTCCATAATTAAAAACGTCAAGTCTTTTGAATCATATACACAACCTTCACTACAGCAACGCAAGCGAACTTAGACGTTGCAAAGAGTTGAACAGAAAACTAGATGAAAACAAACAACTCTACCGTAACTTGATCTTAATCTGGTCAAACTTTGTGTACATTTGATTGCACACATAATTTGCTGTCCAACAAGTACGAGAAAGTTGAACAATTGTTATTGGATCATGGCGGTCCAATCGAGAAACAATTTCTTTTAAGCAGTCCTGATTGATGCACAATGGCTTTGGCGCAGCTTCAATTATCATTTTTTTTTTACTGCACGTCCGTTGGTTAGATTCTGAACCAAAATCACAAATAAACAGAAAATTGCCGACAAAAACTTCTACAAAAGACATTCTTCGTGACAGAGTATAACAATGCGTTTGCAATCATGAGACAACTTTAGCACATGATGTAATATGCCATTTATTAAAATTTCAAAAAAATCATTTTACAAAGTTGGACATATTACTAAAATTCAATATTGACAGCTAACAGGTTTATTTGCAAGAAAGAAGTAGGCTAAAAGATCTTCCAGGCAACTCTTAAATGGACTATTCTCCCAAAATTAAAAAAAAACAGTGAAAAAAGCAAAAAATTGAACTGCTTTTTCAGATCACACGACCAACTTCAATTGATTTTAACCATAGATCACACGACCAACTTCAATTGATTTTAATCATAGATCACACGACCAACTTTAATTGATTTTAGTCATAATACAGGATAAAAACTATTTCATTGGAATTATAACGCATAATACAATTTAGCCACCACACACCAATAAGTCTCTATTACATGCTTTGCCAAAAAAAACGTTCAGTGGCTCGTCCGTTTTATTCAAAGAAATGTGACCATCAACACTACTTTTTTTAGCCCGGCAGCAACAACAGGAGATCGGTCAAATAGATCGTTGAACGACATTAAAACCGCAGAGTAGATAAAGCTTTTGTTCATACTTAAGCCCGCAACTGAAAATACCCAAAAGGGAGCTGAAAAAGCTCAAGATACAAAACTTGTCAACGTCATTGTCTTTTTTCTCTTGATCTCATATAAAATCGCAAAAAGCAACCAACCTTCACCTCAAACTTCTTTTTTTTTTACGTTGCAGCAAAACACAGACTCTTTTTTCCTTTCTAAATCACTAATTGATTCCATGACTGAGTTTAATACTGCTACGAAATAATAATTATTATCACTGTTGTGACCAGATGTGTTGGTGAAGAAATAGCAGAAAATAAAGTTTCAAGAATGTCAGTTAAAGCACTGCTTAACAGTTATCGAAGCGACTGTTGACCGTAGACCGAAAAGTTGCTTTTGAAAGATTTGAAAACAGTCTAATTTTAACAATCATGGTTGATCTTTTTCGTTTAATGTGGTCAAAAATTTTACATGCATCTTAGGTGAATGGTAATTAAAACAAGCTAAATTTTTTTCTCGCATTTAAATGAATATTTGGTTTTGAGTTACTCTTATTGTTCGCTTATTACTCGTTATCCTTGTCAATTCCATATCTGAACCCTAAACTGAGCGATCAATTTTTTTCATCTTCTTCATTTTTATCAGTGGTATAGTGGTCAAACAGTGACCATTCACCATCTTCAAATTAAGTAGATATTTCATTTTATTGCTTTTTCTGTTGTCCAGTCATTGCTTTCTAATATTCAAAATAAAAAAAAAAAAAACAAAAAAAAACGTATTTGGCTCTACTGATTAAATAACTACTGAATTTCGTTCAGCTTTCAGTCAGTGCCTTTGCCTGCTCGTAGGAGTTAGAGCGGAATTTTAAGCAAGAGCAATAAAACTCGTTGTCTTGAGTAGAATTCTAAAAACTGATCTTGCTTTGCATCAAGCAAATAGCGTAAAATTACTTACACTTCTGCACTTTATTGTTATATAATGCAAGAGTATTTGTACAAGACGGGACTGACAAAAGATTTAATATCTTCTACAGAACTAGCGAAAATGATTTATATGCTCTTCATCTTCTTTTCCATAATCACAGTGGACAAATGCTCTTTCCACAAATGGAAGTCGCTCAAGTTTCATCTGCAAACTTCCTGATATGTCGTGAGCCTCATGCAGCAACATGTCCGCCGACATTATCTGAATTTAATGTTTGGAATTTACGAAAGATTTAAATTATAAACGAGAAAAACTTGGTAAGCAGAAGTGGAGAACACCTTTTAATTGGCACATAGGTAGTCAGTTAATTTGCTTGCAACAATGATTACTGGTATCCGACAAAAAATTTAGTTTGTAAATTTGAACAGTTTCTGAGACCAAAAATTCTAAAATTTACATAACAATGCAAAATTAGTGCGCCAAGCAAAAGTTTCGTCTTTTGATCAATTTTTTTCGCTTTTTTTAAACAAGAATCTTTGAAGAACGTTATAATTAAGGAAACTTCTAAAGCGTATTTTTTTAAAGAAAAAAGCTTTATTTTAATGCTATATAGCAGCAACTCAGCTCAATAAATTTCTTTAATAAGTGTCTCTTGTTGCTGCTTTTGTTTAGCCTGTATTAGTACCAT